ATTAATTTTTTTTTTTAGAGAGAGTGGAAGGGAGGGAGGGAGGAAGGGAGAGGGAGAGAAACATAGATATGAGAGACGAATTGAATGGTTGCCTCCTGCACGCGCCATGACAGGCCCCAGGGATCGAACCTGCAACCCAAGTACGTGCCCTTACCCCAGAGGGAATCAAACCTGTGACCCTTCAGTGCGCAGGCTGATGCTCCAACCATTGAGCCACACTGGCCAGGGCTCCTGATTTTTATCGTTTCTGTTTCCCCTAGTTCTTTGTGACAGTGAGTCATCCTTCCCAATGGCCAATTCACATTGTTTTTCCCAGTGAAACACAGTTCTGAAAACAAACTGAAACACGCTCGACCAAACAGCAGACTTGGGCAAGATCCCACCAAGCAAAGGATTCCTGTGAAATACCATCACAGTGTTTCACCATTAGACCACCAATTAGAATAGTGTTGCTCTAATGACTTTTATACAGAGTAGTTCTAATAACACAACAGCACAGCGGTGGGGGGTGACGGAAGAGTGCATGCACAGTGAGGCTCTGAGATGCCTATTTGACCCAGGACCTGTCTTTGCCTGGAGCCTCATTTGTGAAACACAGGAAGTTGTTACAGGAGTTACAAGAAAAAAATACGTGTCAACTACCTGGGACAGACCTTGGCAAACAGTTGCATGCCTAGAGACGTCAGTTAGGAAGGGGGTCTAACCTTCTCTTCCAGGGGCATGACCAGGATGCCCCCCACCTTGAGAAGACTCTTCATGTAGTCCTCATGCTCCTTCTGAACGCCGGCCCCGCAGTACACCCGGTCGTACTGAGAGCAATCGGGAGAAATCTCCAAGCAATTGCCAGTAACAAAGGAAGGCTCACAGAAGTCAAACCTGAAAGTAAAAAATGTGTTCATTCCACAACAACGTACCTTGTAACAGGTCTACACAGTAAATGTCTGCTAACCACAAGTTGTCCATACTCATTTCACAATCCCACAGCGATGGATACAACTCACTGAGCCAGACTTCAAAAGGAATTACAGTATCAATAATTAAACCCTAGAAATTCCAAACAAAATATCACAAGTGAACATCATAAGCATGACCCAAGCTTAAACCATCCAACCTCCAGGCATCATGATCTTTGCTCTGCATTTACAATTCATTGTTTTGCTCAAAGTCACTACACAACAGTGAGATGAGGGTAAGTAAAAAAATTTGGTTTTAAGCCCTAAAGAAAGAATCTTCGTACCTTGTTTAAAAATGGAAAGAGCTAGTTACAAATATTGCTCACAAATTCTGTTTTAAAAACAATCAGGTGATAAATGTCTATATCAGAAACATGAAAACTGAACAACATGAACATTCTGTCTCCCTCTTATGATGTCAGTGAAAACTGCCTTTGCCTAGGTGTCAGTTAACAAACCTAAAGCCCTTAAAACCCCAATATATATAAAGTTTTTTTATTGATTTTTAGAGAGAGAAACATTGATTTGTTGCTCCACTTACTGATGCATCATTGGTTCACTCTTGTATATGCCCCGAACCTGCAAACCTGGCGTATGGGGGTGATGCTCTAACCACCTGAGCCACACCAGCCAAGGCCCCAGCATACTTTTTTAAAAAAA